TAAAAACCTTCTGGCTACTTGTGTCCCAAGAAGAGTCTTATCGAGGTAAGTAAAATACTTAGTCCCATGTACTAGTCAAAACTTCACACTTCATTTAAAATGAAAGATTCTCATTCCTTCACCTTGGGCCTGCTTTGGCCTGGACTATGTGGAAAAAGGGGGCATAGTTGGCTTCTTCTCAATTATCACCCTTGAACTTCTTCCCTACACCCCAATTTCTTCTGGCTCCTTGGAGGTTGAAGCCGAGGGGGTGGGGATAAGAGGAAGGAGAGAGGTAAGACAAGAAAGGCAAAAGAGTAATCTTATTTTGGTTTCCTCTAGACATGTCTGTCTCTCACCCTCTCTGGCATTGGTGGATCTTCAAAGCTGACTTTCTTGGGGTGTTCTTGTAGATGATGAGATCCTTTCTGGGAGCATTCAGTGGCACGTTCCATGACGCAGGATGCCGCTAGCTGGACTTAAATGTCCTGCCTCAGCCCCCGGGAACGCAGCCAATCCCCATCCCACCCCTTCATGAGGCGCTCTTGGGCAGGCTCTGAAATGGCTCCATGTCATCTTTCTCTTCCACATGGCCCACACCTGATCCCCCAAAGCCACGTCTGGGCCTGAGGACTCACTTATCCTTGTTCCACCACTGATGTACACGTAGTTAGTTCCCCTCTTTCTGTTCCTTCAGACAGATCACCAGAGCCTGTATCTGTAACTTCACCAGGCATCCAAGGTGGTTTTCAGAAGAGACTTACAACACACTTTTTCCAAAACCCTGTCGCTAATCTCAAACTCCTCTCAGACTTCAATCCTCTTATATCCTCCACATGAGTGGTGACCCAAGGGCACCATCTTCTTTGAAGGTCTCACCTAGTGGCCTAATATTTCACTTTGGCACACGGACTATGGTTCTGTTCTTGGTCTTTTGGAGTCTCAGCCAAAATGTAGACAAACAGAGGCTCATTTTAAATCCTGTTACATATAAACAATGCTCACATTAGCCCCAGCAGCAGCATTTAAGGGTAAGGAGACCTTCAATGAGCTCAACAGAAATGCTGGTGGACATAAGAATCAACTACTCAGGAGCAATCTTGCAAAAGAAGAAAAATGCTAAGAAGGCAGTCAGAAGGGTAAACAGATGGGAACAGGGCTAGCTAGCATGTGTGTGGACATAATTTTAGAAAACCGGACAGAGGTTATAGCTAAGATGCAAGAAATCAAAGCCTCAATACATATGCAGTGAAATCTATACAATGCCCTAGCCAGAGCAAAAAAAAAAAAATCAGGTTCATTTTCTGCAAGGAGGATGCAGTGTCACAAGGTAAAAAGGCCACTGTGCTGGGAGCGGAGCAACTTAGCTCTCCAAGAGGCAGTCTGGAAAAGTATTTAAGATCTTAGACTTTGGAACCAGAGGAGAAAAATGGATTTTAATTTTTAAAACACTTTCTAGCTGTTTGACTTTGAACAAGTGATTAAGTTTCACTTGGCCTCAGTTTCCCCATCTATATAATGCGAGTCTCATGTAGTACCTGCCTGAAGAGTTGTCCAGAGGATGAAGTGACTATTACTATTCATGTCATTGTCTTATTGAATTGATCCTGTTGATGCAACCAGGAAGCAACTTTATTTTATTTTAATTAATTAATTTATTTTTTTTGTGAGGAAGACCAGCCCTGAGCTAACATCTGACGCCAATCCTCCTCTTTTTTGCTGAGGAAGACTGGCCCTGGGCTAACATCCGTGCCCATCTTCCTCCACTTTATATGGGACGCCGCCACAGCATGGCTTGCCAAGCGGTGCGTCGGTGCGCCCTCGGGATCCGAACCGGTGAACCCCGGGCCGCCGCAGCGGAGTGCGCACTTAACCGCTTGCGCCACCGGGCCGGCCCGAAGCAACTTTATTTTAAACAAGCTGCCCCTTCCATCCCACATGGATGGGTGGTTCTTTCCTTTTGCTTGATGGAAATTTTAGGCAAGTCCCATAGCTTTTCCGGGCCCCTCAATCTCAAGAAGGATCTCATTTTAGTTATGAAATTTTCCAGCACAGTGAAATAATCAAACATCTAGCTGCATTAGATTTAAGCTTCCCAGCTCGGTCCTGCTTTAGGCCTGGAAGCCTGAAGCAGGTGGGCCTTGCTCAAGTGCTGTTTCCCTTCTGGGCCTCTCTCATCCACCCAGCCCCCACCCCCAACACACACAGGCCTCTGCCAGGTCTGGCTGATGGGGAGAGAGGAGGTAAAAAGGCATAGTGTTAAGTGGCCCTTATTCTCTTGACCTGTGCTAGTGGCCTTGGGCTTAGAGAACATTCAGAATGGACTCCTCTCATGGGGCACATTTGTAATTGTTTCCAGAGATTCTGTTACTAGGACCTCCAAGTGCAGCTTGCTGGAAGCAGGCAAAGCTTCTCCTCCTCCTGGCTGATTGTAACTCCTCTTCTTGAGCCTTGGGTATCTGGTGGGTCTCTTGTGCTGGGTCTCTTTGCCCCCTCCTCCTACCCCAGGCAGCCCTTTCAAGAGTGCTCTAGCAAATTCTGTCCAGTGGGTCCCACAGGTAAACTCACTCACACATCCTTGACCACCACCATCCCTGCTCCAAGAACTGCTTGCTCTCTCTCTCTCTCTCCCTCTCTGCTCTGCCAGATCAGGCATGACATCTTACCTTTAGATTCTCAGGTATGTGTCACATGCCTGGACCCTATGTCCTCTAAATTCCAGGGCACACAAATTAATCTCTCTGAATGGTTCCCTTGAAATGCCTCTCAACTGAGGAAGGAGGGACACACAACCCACAACTAAATAAATGCTCTTTCAACTCTAGTCTTCAAAGATGTAACCACTCATACTGGCCTGACCTAGGTTAGAATCTCTTATCAAGTCCTGCCTAGCTGGTTCAGCATCTTGCTTTAGGATGTGTGGTTCTTGCCAACTATCAAGAGCGTTCTAGTGTTTAGGCCTCTATCAAAACTCTGTGACAGGAGGAAGAGGAACTTATCCGTCCTCCTGCCACATCCAGCATCCCACCTGACACGAAGGCATGGAGGCTCTGTGCCTGTATCCCCCTCCTTCTTTTCATACCTGGGACTTCAGGTGTGTCACTTAAGATCAGTGAGTCTAGGTTTAGAACTGGAATAATAATATCTTTCTTGTCACCTGTGTAACTTTGTTGAGAAGAGCAAGAAACAAGATGGATGAACAAGTGCTTTATATATGAAAAGTCTATAGAGAAAAATGCAACTTACTATTAAGATATGAGGATAGCAGTTTCATCAGAAATAGTGACTCCTTGGCCTATTTTCCTTCCTATCTAATACACACCACAAAGCTGGTAGAGGAAGGACAAGATTTCAATGACCATGAACAAAAGTCATAGAGAAGTTACCTTCTCTATTTATACATCCTCTACTAAACCTGAGGCTTGACTCCTATAATGCATAGAATGTAAGGAATGAATGTGTTGGTTCCTACACCTCATATTTCACTTCACATCACTTCCTCCCACAACCCAGAGACCAAGAACATTTTCATTTAGGAATCAAAAATAGATGTTTTTTAAGGGACGAAGATGCCAAGTGCATGCCAGGCAATGCCTGCCTTGTCCAATTTGCTCTTGTCCTGACCACAGCTGCATTTTCAAGAAAGCAAGATTAAGCTGGGTTTGGGGGAGTGGGGCAGGGTAGCTATTGACTGAGTTGGGCATCAGACTCAAGACCCCCATCCAGATGCTGACTAATGATCAATAAAGCAGCCTGATGCAAAGGCAAGAGGGCAGGGTGGAATGGAAACTGAGGGAACCATCAGAATGCCCCTGAGATTTGGGTTCTGGGGCCAGAGGAGAATTGAGAAGAGAGAAATAGAGATGCCAAGAGAGACTGTGCCTGTGTGCGCGCTTGTGCGTGTGTGTGTGTGTGTGTATGTGTTAGAGAGAGACAACGTCTTGCTTTAGAGCTGTTTTGGTTCCTGTAAGTTTCCGGTTCCATATATCCAGGCAGCTGTATCTTTATAAGTCCCCATTTTTCAGGCTATCCATATTACTCTCAGTCCATTGCAACTATAAGAGGAAGGGAGGAAAAGTCACACACCACGCTAAGCTAATTCATTCCCATAACCTTGGAGAACAGAAAATCTTCTAGAACCATTTCCAATGTAGAATTATGGATCTTCCTAGGCCTGCCCTATTTCAAAGTAGCCCAGCCTTTGGTGGCAGAATGTGATACAAACCCAGTCTTCTCAACGTATTCACATCCATCCTTGTCAAATTACCAGTTCCGAGGGCCCCAACACCGTCCTATAAGGCTAAATTGAGGCTTCAACTATCCCCAAAGCTCTTAACATTATAGGATACAATTTGGGGGTTACTGGGGAGTTGAGCTCCTGCCTCATGCTGACTGGACAGACACCTAAAATAGCCAAGCAGTAACCTACTGACAGTAATTCAAACAGAAATTACATAGACAATGAATATTCGCTTTGTAACTAGGTCGTACAAATGTTATGAGAATATTAGTAGCCTGTTTTAATTCCTCACGACTCCATCACCTTAAGACAAGTACAAAAGATTTGAAATCAAAGAACTAGGTTCAAACTCTTACTCTTCCCCTCCCTAGCTGTGCAACTTTGAGTAAGTTGCTTAACCTCTAGGAGTTTCTCCCCATCGGTAAAATAGACATAATAATACCTACTCCACAGAGTTATTGTGAAAGTGAAAGGAGACATCCAGCAAGACGCTGCAGTTGCAGCAACAGCATCATAACTACAGTAATAATTGTTTGAGCACTTGTATGTACCAGGCACTGAGTTAGCACCTTATTTGCTTTATGTCATCTAAATTCCCTGATAACCTTATGAAGTGTGTACATTTTACAGGGAAGGTTGCTGAAGCACACGGTGGCTAAGTCACCTGAGTAACTGGCATAGCCAAGAGGAGTGGCACTGACAACGTGCTCCTCCCTTTTCTTTTTCATGCTTCACTGGGAGGAAGATTCTAGACTTAAAGAAATTAGCAGCAACTACTTACTGGGGGTTCATCGGTTCCAAGTCGCCAATACGTTGAATTACACAGTTTTTTCACTTCCTCGGGACCTTCTATATCATAATCTTTGGGATAAGCTTCTCTGTCACGGTGCCTTAAGAAAAAATTTAGAATCTGTTAAGGGATAAATCTTATTTATCATATATTGCATTTAAATTTTAAAAAAAATTACCCAATGAAAATTTACTATATTTATGACTGTTCTAATTATAAATTTACTGGATTTGGTACATATAAAGTATTTTCCATCTCTTTTCAAGTAATGCTGAGGCTAATTCCTAAAAACAACTTAGCACATGTGATAAAACTAATAATATCACAAAACAATACTTATCCAACACCGCAATTCATTTAGTGACTCCAATGAAGTGAATCTTATTTAATAATGTAATTTAGTTACTGAAAGTAAATTTTAAAATAAGACATGGTAATATCTGAGAAAGGCAATTTGCCACTTTAGAAATTTTTCCTACCACGAATTTTAATTACAACTTTTATTTTCAAAACGAGAGAGAGCAAAGTATTTGCTCATATGGATTTACAACACGTGCTTCCTTCTTCTAAAAAGGGTCTAAAGGAAGCTGACAAACATAAGCTAGAAACAACAGTTTTTAAAACATGTAAATGGAAAAAGAAAAAAAATTCCAAACGTCTTGATTAAAAAGGTGGCTAGAAATAATCATAAAGGAGGGATTTGGTGATAGGGAAGGAAAAAGAAGGTGAAGTGGCTCACAATAGAAGCAGCTGTTTCCACAAAGCTTTCTCAGATGAGATAAAGGAAGCTGAACCCAAACTTCTCTCAGGAGGGGCCTTGTTATTAAGGGATACAGGGCTAGGATTGTGTAAGGGACACTGAGGTGCCCAAGAATTCATCATCCATCCATCCATCCATCCATCCATCCATCCATCCATCCATCCACTTGTTCGTTCATTCATTAAGTACCTACTATACGCCAGGCATTTTGCTAGGTGCAGGGGATGCAATGGAGAGCAAACCTAATACAGTCCCTGCCTTGGTTACTCATAGTCTGGCGAAAGACACAGACAATTAAACAAGAAAAAGTACAATGCGGTGAGAGCGGGCATAGGGCTGTGGAAGCAGAACAGCATCCACTAACCTGGATGGGGCACCCAGCATCCAAGTTAGGAGGCCCTTTAGGAACTGGCCCCCTACCTCATCCCACTGCACTGGGGCTGGGCCCCTGCATTACGTTCAAATTATACATTCTTCTCTCCACCTCTGAGTATGGGAACAGAGCTCTGCATAGAACACAGCAGCGAAAGAGCCCAGGGTAGAGTGGCAGAGCTCCAGCATGTGAGCCTTCCACCCTCCTCACATCTGAGCATTAAACTGCAAAACACTAAAAGCATTTTGGTACCATACCAGCATTATTTGGGAACCTGACAGGAAGCTCTCACTGAAGTCCTTAGGGAGAATACTGAACAACATCAAGAACCAAGAGTGGGAAAGTAAATGGGGCCATGGGTTTGAGTCACTGCTTAGCCAAGTCTAGCTGCATGACCTTGGGCAAGTTGCCTAATCTTTCTATGCTTCCATTTTCACATGTGTAAAATGAGGACAGAAATAATACAAACACTTTTTAAGATCTTTATAAGAGTTAAAATAAAAAAAAAAAAGGTGGACGGTCCTTCAAACATTGTAAATTACCATAAACATCTACGTATAGTGAATATTAATCTGGCTTCAAAAAATTCTGTTGTACAAGAATTGCAATTTTATTTTTCCATAATTGTACTTAATTTTTGTTCCAAGCACTCATATTGCCAGGTGGAAAAACCTTAATCTCGGTCAATTCTGGATCCTTTCCAACTCTAAAGTGTTTGTGTGGTACCACCACGCCAAGAATCTGTCCTTGTCATCATCATCTCTCCTTGCTGGCATCAGTGGAAACATCCTCATTCTCCTGTGGTCTTCCATTATGGATCCATGCAGATCTCTGTTATACCCTCCTGGCCCTGCCACACGGACTCTTGTGTAAACTGGCATTTTGCCACAAGTGTGCCACTATCTAGCCCACCAAAAACCTTCTTGTGTCCATCTTCACCTGGGTTGCTGGAAACCCAGATGCCATCCCTGAGCTGTTTGCCGGCCCACCAAGAAGGTATGTGCTTCACGTCCTCACCACACTGGGCTTGGGGGAAATATAGGAGCCCCACACTTCAACAGCTCCGAAAACATTACCCTGGGAATGGAGGGCTAGGCAGTCATAGGTCCCATCTGCTCTAGGATTTCCAAAGTCTTAATTCAAATTCGAGATCCTGGACAAATCTACATGTTCCTAACTTCTCTGGTCTCCTCCATCTTCAGTCCATGAACTCTTCATCTACTATGAGACAGGGTAGCCCAGCTCTTCATCTATATTTCCAAATCTACGATGCCATCCTAAGACCCAAGTTCTTGAACCCCAATGCCAAGAGTTTGGCTCTTTTGTTGCCAGCTGGGTCATTCTTCCTCGAAGCCATAAAACCAGAATACCTCCCTGAGAGCATAGGAATGAAGGGCAAAGCACTAGTTAACATTTCAACATACTATCTCCAGGGCCCGCCTCTTCATTAGGCACACCATAGGCCCAGTGGCCAGGGCTCACCATACTTTTAGGGGCCCACAAGACTGTTTTAATTATTTTTAAATCAGAAAAAAGAATATAATCCAGCTTGTATTATATTCATGTTTATACCAATGCAGTCATAAACTGTCATTTTTAACTTTTGTTTTTTTATGAAGGAAGGAGTCCATGAAGGTAAAGATGATTAGCACCCATGAAGGTCAGAATGTTGCCCCGATTATCCCACTATATATTTTAAGTTGTATTATAACTAGATTATTACAAAAGACGCAGACATGTTCCTTTTCTTGTCACAATCTCAGATAGCAGCCAAAAGCCCAGCATTGAAAACATGAATCTATAATGAAAGTGTTTCTTTGAAGGACTGAACTAATGCAATTAGCATTCCCTTATGCCTGCCGGCTGCCCATAAACGGTGTGCCCACAGCCTGCAGGCTCTGAGAGATACACAGCTGGAAAAGACATGCCCCTACTTCCAAGAGGCTGCCAGCCTAGCAAAGAGAAATATACTTCTTTAAAAATTACAAAATATAGTAAAATATAATACAAAATAAAATATAAAAAATGTATTTACTGTATACTAAATATATATTTACTATATATAAAAATATGGTAAAAATCATTGGGGGGTTAGAAAGGAAATAGGAGACCTAATTAATTCCCTGACTTTATTATATTATGTCAGGCAAACACTGGCTTACGCCTCAGTTTTCCCAAGATGAACTGAGAGTCATACACTGAGGAAATAAATGAATCAATGGATTTAGAGTCTCAAGTGAAAAGTGACATAGCAATGCAAAATATTATTATGTGTAATAATATTGTTTCTATCTACCATATGCTTTAGTCGGGCATTTTTAAATACTTTGTCAATACCAATTAAGACTTATAGCATCTTTGTGAGACAAAAATATCTGTATATATACATACATATGCATAAAAATAATCAAGGTATAATAATATATACACACTTTATATAGCCCTGTTGTCCCTGCTTTCTGCATTTATTTATGGTCACCATACAACTTGCCATGACTAGTCATTTATTGCAATAAAAATTCCTTATGAGAACTGGATAGCCACATGTAAAAAAAATGAAAGTAGACCCTTACCTTACACCATACACAAAAATTAACTCCAAATGGATTAAAGACTTGAATGTAAGACCTGAAACTGTGAAAATTCTAG